CGCGACTAATTCACAACTATTAGTCTGACTGTTGAATGCTATGCTGTCTCCCTGTGCGATGTTGGTGGTTTTTTCTTTGGCTTCTCCTGCCATATCCTGTTCGATCCTGACTCCCAAAGCTTGGTCCTGTCATCCTTCTCTCACTGCTAGGTCTGTTTGTTGCCGTTCTGGATCCTTTCTCATTAATTTAGTAATTTCTCTTCCTCCCATTTCTTTTTCGGTGCTGTTGCTGCCCACTCTTGGACATCGCGGGATCGAGTGTCCCCCGGCCGTCCAAAACCGGTTTTTTTCTGCAGTGGCCTGGGTGTTTCTTCGTGGCTGGGCGCTGGTTACGCCTGGCCAGCTGAGTAGACACTTGAGCTGCGTCCGTCCGTTGATTTGCTTACCGATCAAGCTGGTTTCTAACTCCTTGCTGCCTCTTCCTCCATGTGTCTTGCTGCGCTCCTACTCTTTCGGTCCATCTCCCTTATTTTCGGCTTCCTCTTTCTCATCCTTCTTAACCTTGACTCTTTTTGCGTAGGTGCCTAGAAACATATGAGATCATCCCTTTTCAGGTAAAGGAAAAATTCCTTGGCGTGAATCTTCGTTGGACGCGTGCCGCCCGTCCCTAATTGCTGTAACAGCCCGGGTCTATCTCCATAATGTTCCTTAGTCTCTAGCCCTGTGGATTCCTGAAGTCTCCGTTCTGTCTCCCAGGTCTTCTATGTCTCTTTGTGGGAAGCGTATTTCTCCTTGGTCTGCTTCACTCTCTTCTCCCGTTCCGAGTCTTCCATGCGTCTCGTTCCGCTCGTAAGAAGCGCGAGCGTGAGTACTTCCATAGACTTCCCATGCTCTCTTTGTTGAGGTCTGTTCTCTTGCGAGAGACGATCCCGCGACCACCCCTAAATGCTGTTGGCATTTCGAGGCGTGACTCGACACAGGCATTTCCTGCGCGTAGCGCTCGCAGGGTATTTGTTTGTTTCCTGGTATTTCTCCCGCAATCCCTAGGAAGGGCGGGAGGAACGCTAATGGTGTTGACTACGGGAGATGTGTCGTGGGCTCGTCGGGTGGTACCGCCGGCGTGGTCCTGTTAACGTGTATGCGTGAATCCAAGCAAGGAACACTCTCAGTATGGACGTTTAATCAGTGGCTGACGAGCGCCTAACATTTATTCCACAACTCAACGTGCAGGTATGATGTACATAAGAGACGCTAGCCTGCTGTGAATATATACAATCAATCCCACAGGCACTTCGAGAGGCGTGCAATAGACTCATACTGACTGTACATGGACTAGCCTTGTCCGGTTAAGAGAGGTTGCTCCGACAAGCGTGCAGGGCCTAACTCCCGCTCAATATGGTCGTTGGTCAATGGCACGTATGGCCACGGTCTCCGACTATGACCGGGCGTCTGCGGCCATCCAGGTGTGTGATCACGCTGTCAGCTAGTGTTCTGTCGTGACGCGGGGCTCGACCGGCTTCTTTACTCAGCTAGTGGCTCCCGTGACCGGTGCCTCTCGCAGATACTCGAAGTCCTTGCCGTGTGTCAGCGGACCCGTTTATTTTCTAGCTGCTGGTACTACTTTATATTTCGTGCGCCCGCGTAGCGCTCACGCCGTAAAGTATAATAGGCTGGCCTCTGTGGTCAGGCCTTTTGATTTCTGTATTGCTTGACATCTTATTTTTATTGAAACCGCTATTTCGCTTCTATAATTGCGTAGAATTTTTATATGAATATGAAACTAAATCGTACTTCGTAGTCACTCTATTGCCTCTCATAATCTTCCCCGTCCCGGTTACAAATCTTCTGACTAGTCCCGCAGGATATAAGATTGGCCGCGCCATGGCGGTAGCTCTGATAATAATATATATTCTTTCGTTATTACTTTTTTGATTTTATACAACTGACTTACCCTAGCCAGTTTATTAGCTAGTGCACAAGTCAGATATCCAAATCACTACAATATAGTGACATTCCTGTATTCATCGTACGTGCCATAGATACAACAAGTGCGAAATGTTGAATGTGTGATTATATTATGATATAAGATAGTAAATAAGGAGACGGGAGGGTAATACAATGCGATAATCATTATCACAGCAAGCGGCCATACTAAACGTGCCATAAATCTCAGTTTTTTGTTTGATTATCACTTATTCAGCGATGGAGAGAATGCGGTGAACGCTATGACTACACACACACACACACACACACACCACACACACACACACACACACCACCACACACACACACACGCACGCACAGCCACGCACGACACACACAACACACACACACACACACACACACACACACACACACATAACACACGACCGCGTGCGCGCACGCACGCGCGCACGCACGACGCGCACACGCACACGCACACGCACACGCACACGCACACGCACACGCACACGCACACGCACACACACACACACACACACACACACACACATACACCTTCTACTGATGCGCACCTGTCCATGCT